TTTTTTACAATTAATAAATGGACTTACCACACTACATGGCTACTTGGGGCCATTCTCTGTTTGTTTATAATGCGGCAGATGCTGGTTCCTCAAGCCTGAACCTGAGGAGGCAGCCTTGATCTGGCCATTTACAGTGTTATTTGTCTAGTTTTAAGCTAAACCTCTGGAATTTAGTAATAATGTTTGCTTCTGTCATAGCAGTTTATTATTATTTTTTCAATTTTAATTTTGATCAGTTTTGGCTACATTGTTTTTTTTGTGGTGAGTTATAATTTGTTACATTACCAACCCATACAACACATCATTAGCTACATTTTTGCTGTGTCTTTTCATTCTCTTGATTGAGCCACTTTCCCAATTATCTGACACTGCTTGGATGTGGTAGTACACAATGGGCATTTTTTCTTGTTTCTGTATAAAGAAGACATTTAGGTAGTTTTTGCTCCTCAAATGGGGAGGGATGAGAAAGATGTCTGTAGGAATCTGCTGCCCTATACTGTCGGTATTTGTAAATAGCTGTGCTTGTTATCTACAACAGAGATAGTTGGTTATAGACAGGTATTTCCTGTCACTGCTAACTGGATCAGAAGCCCTGATTGGAGGACTGTGATGTTTTATAAAGGAGGTTTCCAGGAAATAAAGACAGAATTAAACACATGAAGATCCATGCAGAAGCTGCTGTGTCACGGTCAGGGGTCAAGCATGAAGGCCAGGAGCTATAGCAGTGGAAAGGTTCACATACAAACCGGCAGGATAAATGCACAAGCTGGTTCCCCTGGTGGGTGATGCAGGCTCACCCCTAAGGCGCAGGGTCTAAGCACTAGCTGGTCTTCACCAGAGCTCCTGATGGTGGAGATAGGTTTTTCTGCATGCTAGTACCAGGTCAGCATTGCCCTACCAGGAGGTGAGTAGCCACCAGTAGCAGATGAAGCAGTTAGGGATCAAGTAGAAGCATAGTCAATAAACAAGCCAAAGGTCAATAACAAGTGCTTGCAGGTTGAGATCAAGCGGACATGTAGTTGAGGAACAAGTCAAAGATCAGTAACGTGAAGATAAAGCCGACATCAGGAGTGTAACAAGCAAGATATAAGTGCAAAGGCATCACTTAAATAGGAAATTCTTGAGAGGAGTAAGATGTTCACAGCTCACCAGAAGCAAGCTAGAAAGTAATGCTGTCTAAAGGATATGTTTTGCTCTGACATTGCAGAATTTAAGGATGTCTGGGACAGCAAACAAACATCAACTCCCTGTATAAGATTCGGAACTATTCCTTAAAGGATAAGTTCACCTTTACATGTTACATCCGTTGTTAGGGTGGAACATGTAACATGTTCTCAATTTTGCACCTGCCACCCACTGCCCCCCCCCCCTCCCCGAAGATCAGGGAGAGGTTCCCCATACAATCTGTCAGTTTTCAAGAACAGCGCGGCTGTGCGGGGTCGCGTCATTCACTCACAGTGTTCTGTGAATGAATGGACTACAAGTCCTGACAGCCATAGCAGCTGTCGGCTTGTAGTTCTCAATGAACTACCACAGCACTGCAAGCTCTGCGGATGTTTTTTCCTGTCAGAAATATCGGCTTCCCTATACAGGATGTATGAGGAAACAGATAAACTGACAGGTCTGCAGGAGACCTGCATGGCATCAGTCATCTGCTGATCGCTGGTGTAATGCTTTAAAGGCTCCTACATTGCTTTACCTACAAAAAATATGCATGTATTTATTTATTTATTACAGGTACTTATATACATTTATTGTTTTTTGTGGAAAGGTGTGAACTTATCCTTTAATGAAAGGCAAAATGAGAACAATTACTAGAAAAACATATTTATGTTTTCATTAAATGTGAGTCTGGCTATGGATATGCGGACTGTATATCTTGTGAAAACCTGACTGGAAATATTAACCCAACTGGTGAATGATACAGAAACATTCCACTGCATCTATATCAGTAAGTGAAGCTACTACCCTTCCTCTCCACCTCATCTAATCAGAGAACACCTTGTAATAATTTAAAAAAGTGAGTGACCCCTCTGGTCAGTGTGCAGAGGGAAAGGTGCATGGTACAAAATCAGGAAAATCGCAGCTATCACTATAGTAGTGCTGACTACTAGAGTAATTGTCAACACCCCCAACGACCCCTTAGGTATGAGATATGCATACTTACTTTGGTCCAAACTGGACCAATGTAAGCAGGCAATAAAGATTATACCTGATGTTGAACATTAAAAGTTACAGAACATTATTTTTTACCCTGTCAACTATTTGACCTCATGCTGATAATACACATTGTCAGTTGACATAGCATTAACTATCAGACCTCATGTGATCTGTCACCAATGACTTTCAGGCCAGGTTTACACATATGCAGTGCGGCATATCACATGTGATTTGCACAGGAACCGCACCACATTCCTGTGCAAATCACATACGAATTGTGTGCGGTGCGATTGGAGCAATATGTTTTGTATGGCTCCAATAGCACCGCACCCGCACCAAAAATGTGCAGGACCCTTTTTTTGGTCTGCACTAGAATCAGATAGCATGGGTATTCACACCCATGCAATCTGATTCTGCACATCGCACCGCATTCTGCGGACCGATTATGGGGTGTTGTTAACTCAACATACACACTCGCAGTGGTTTACATGAACGGGGTGCAATTCTGATGTGGTGCGGAATTCGCACAGAAAATGCTGCAAATTCCGCACCGCATCAGTGTGAACCCAAGCTGTGAGTCAAGCTCAGACAGAAAAGCTAAACCTAAATAAAGGGGCACTTAAAGTGGAAGTAAAGTCAATTTCCAAAAAGTTGCTCAAATGCAAGGTATTTATGACAGAAAAGACCCTATTGGTTTCGTCTGCCATGAATGCATCCTACTGCTTGTCGGCTGTCATGTACACTGAGCTGCGCATGCTCAGCTCAGCTCAGCAAACATTTACGGCCCAGATCCATGCCACAGTGATGTGACTCCTGTGTGCATGCGCGGGAGTGATGTTATCGCAGCTAGTGCTATTGCAACGCTGAAGGTACAGGACCTGGAAGGAAGACCGAGCAAAGATGGAAGCACCGGGGGCACTCCAGACTGATCCCACTACAGCACTGGAGGGCACCGTTTGACAGGTAAGTCTGCCATAATTTACTAATATGCCATGCATACTAGCATATTATGGCATAATCTACCTGGGGGGCCCCAAAATAAAATAATTTACAGAGGAGTGTACTACCACTTTAAAAATCTTTATTAGGGAAGCTTGCACTTTTATACAAATTTTAGTCTGAATATACAGTACATATTCTTATATGGGCTCAGTCAGGGACTAGTTCTCTTTATTAAATACTACCATCTGCCTTGATAAAAATCTACCTAGTTGGATACAATATCTGGCAAATAATGTATTCTGCATATAATCAAGTTGATTTTAGTCTTATTCTTTGAAAGTAATTCATGCATTTGAGCTCAAGATACTGGACCTATATACACAGTGCACACATGGAAACTGTGTACCTCTGACCACCTCCATCACCATGAACATGCATACAGACTAAAACAATCATTGCATTGGAATGTGGAATTGAGTTTGTTTGAAAGGGCACATATTTACCTAACTATAGTGTCCAGCGGTGATCTCAGATCACTAGTGGTTTAGGAAACAGATGATCAGCGGAGAACATGTTCTTCACTGGTCATCTCAGCACACAGAGAATCTGTCAGAAACAGCCAGTGTATGAAGGAGCAATGTCAACCCTTTACTGGCAATCTGTGTGAAAATTCTCCCTCCAGATTTTCCAGCCCAGAGGTGGAGAATCGGGGGAGCAGCAAATGAAGCAGCAGTAACTGCTTAGTTAACTGTGTGTTGGACTGATCTCTTACTGTAATCTCGCGAGTAACAGCAGCCGGTTTCTAGAGTTCAAAGCGTTTGTAAATCGCTTCTCTCCTCATTAGGAGAAGCGATCTACACCGCTTCATAAACAGGCATTCAGAGGAGAACTGATCCTCTGAGAATGCCAGAGAACTGAGCAGCAGTTATTTACCACTGCATGATAAAAAGACATCTATGACATTTGGAGAAGAAGCAATAAACTTCTACACATTCTATCATAACCAAGAGGCACCATAGAAGGTAAGTTATTTTAAGGGAGGGTTGTTTGTTTATGAAAAGTATAATGTTATATGACCATTTTAGATTTAAACAGAATTTAGCATTATTTTCACTCAACTACAGTACATTATATATGTATACTGTGGTTTGCTGAAGGCATTTTTCATTCACTTGAAACTTTACTCCAAAATCTTGTGGAATTATTTTCTGTATCCTAGACCAGCCTTTCTCAACCAGGGTGCCCAGACACTCTGGGGTGCCTTGAGGTTTCTTCAGGGGTGCCTTGAGGTTTCTTCAGAGGTGCCTTTGCAAAATGTCTAAAAATTGCCCAAAACTTGTATACAAGCCAGCGGATGGAACAAGCCTGCCTTTCAGTTACACAAAATTACAAGATTTCAATGTGCACCATTACGACCTTCTAGCTGCTGGCATCCCAACAACCAATTACATCATCAGTTGATAAGGAGGATGTCAGCTGCCTGCACAGAATCCTAGTTTGACACTCCCCTGCCCCTCTCCATCATTGCTGGGGTCACATTAGCTCAGTGATGGAGAAAAACTGAGGGAGAAGAGAAAGCCTGGAATACTAGTCAGTACCAGTGTGTAAAAGTGTATTTGCTTTGGAAGAATAAATCCCCTCTAATGCTGGGTGTCCTACGTGTGTGGATGTTGCTGTGTTGTATAAAACTATTAGAATAGTTTTTCACATTTTAGAATGGGGTGCCTCAAGACTGTCCATAATTATAAAGGGTGCCTCGGGACTGTCCATGATTTTAAAGGGTGCCTTGAATGAAAAAAAGGTTGAGAAACACTGTCCTAGACTATAGTCCTAGACTATAAAGCATTGCTCGGTTTCACAATAAAATTATTAACCACTTTGCTTTCTCCATCATCTAGAGTCATTAGAAAAGATCTTTGGCAAAGCCACAATGGAATATGTGTTGAATTTGTGTAGAGGGCAATTTGATTTCATTGTTCGGATACCTGATAGCCTTAAGATTCGTATCTTATCCTTTCTTGATACACAAGACATTAAGCAGCTGTCAGAGACATGCAAGACATACCAGAAGGTAAGCAATCCGCAGCTGTTTTGTATTAAGTATAGTCTTTTTTAGAGATCATGTTCTAGTAACCAGCCACATATTTTGCTTACTCTTTAAAGTCTTCCTGAAAGGTACCCAAAGACACAGTACAGTATAACTGAAACAGAGTACATGCACATTGAATTCACCAAAATGTGCACTTGTTGCCGAATTTGATGTTTGTTCCCCATGAGTAACTTTATGGATTATAAATCCATATCCAGGCAAGGTATACAAATGATTTTGAATATTGCATGCAAGTTCCAGGCTTATTTAGGGCAAGTTGGCAGCACCCTCTGCTTGTGTAAGATTTACTTAAAGTGGTTGTAAAGGCTCAAGGCTTTTTTGCCTTCATGCATAGACCTTCTGTGTTCAGCTCCCCTCTGCCAACTCCCCCTAATACTTACCTGAGCCCCATTGCGATCCAGCGATGTACACAAGAGCCTTAGCTCTTTGAGGACTCTACCTCCTCATTGGTTGAGACAGCAGCAGGAGACATTGGCTCCCACAGCTGGCAATCACAGCTAGTGAGCAAATGAGTGGGGGCAGGGCAGAGAGACACTCTGTGTGTGAATTGACATGCAGAGCAGTGGCTTGGGAGCAAGCCTGCCTGGGTACCCCCCCCCCCCCCATTGCACTGGAGGCACTAAGCAGAAGGGAGGGGCCAGGAGTGCAGGCGGGGTACCTGAGAAGAGCAGGATTGGGGCTGCTCTTATACACAGTAGGTAAGTATAACTTGTTTATATATATATATATATATATATATATATATATATATATATAATTGCCTTTAATATCACTTTTACTCTGTTTTCCAAAGTCCTTCTGGTAAAAGTAAAAAAATGTATTGCAAAATTCTGTTTATTTGCAAATGTTCTCTCACCCATATACAATAACTACAGTTGCAAGAAAAAGTATGTGAACCCCTTGGGATTACGTGGAGTTTTGCATGAATTGGGCATAAAATGTGCTCTGAACGTCATCTAAATCACAACAATAGAAGAACACAGTCTGCTGAACATAACACTACACAAACATTAGATGTTGCCATGGTTTAATTGCACATAACATGTAAACATTCACAGTGCAGGGAGGAAAAAGTATGTGAACCTTTGGACTAAATAACTGATTGACCCTCCTTTGGCAGCAATAACCTCAACCAAACGATTCCTGTAGTTGCAGATCAGACCTGCACAACGATCTGGAGTAATTTTGGACCACTCCTCTTCACAAAACTGTTTCAGGGTAGCAATATTCTTGGGATGTCTGGTGTGGATCGCTCTCTTAAGGTCATGCCACAGCATTTCAATCGGGATGAGGTCAGGACTCTGACTGGGCCACTCCAGAAGGCGTATTTTGTGCTGTTGCAGCCATTGTTTTGTTGAATTACTTGTATGCTTTGGGTCATTGTCCTGTTGCATCATGCATCCTCTGCGGAGCTTCAGTTGGCGGACAGATGGTCATACGTTTTCCTGCAAAATGTCTTGATAAACTCTGGAATTCATTTTCCCATCAATGACAACAATCCGTCCAGGCCCTGAGGCAGCAAAGCAGCCCCAAACCATGATGCTCCCTCCGCCATGTTTTACAGTGGGGATGAGGTTTTGATGTTGGTGTGCTGTGCCTTTTTTTCTCCACACATAGTGTTGTGTGTTCTTCCCAAACAACTCAATCTTGGTTTATTCTGTCCACAGTATATTTTGCCAGTAGTGCTGTGGAACATCCAGGTGCTCTTTTGCAAACTTCAAACGTGCTGCAATATTCTTTTTGGACAGCAATGGCTTCCTCCGTGGTGTCCTTCCATGTACTCCATTCTTGTTTAATGTTTTCCCTATTGTAGATGTGTCAACAAAAATGTTAGCATGTGCCAGAGATTTCTGTAGGTCTTTAGCTGACACTCTGGGATTCTTCTTTACCTCATGCAGCATTCTGCGCTGTGCTCTTGCAGTCATTTTTACAGGACGACCACGCCTAGGGAGAGTAGCAACAGTGCTAAACTTTCTCCATTTGTAGACAGTCTGTCTTAACGTGGACACATGAACATCAAGACTTTTGGAGATACTTTTGTAACCCTTTCCAGCTTCATGCAAGTCAACAATTCTTGATCGTAGGTCTTCTGAGAGCTCTTTTCTGCGAGGCAAGGTTCACATCAGACAGTGCTTCTTGAAACCAGTAAACCCAAAACAGGTGTGTGTTTTTTAAGGGCAGGACAGCTGTCAGCAACACATCCAATATCATCACACTGATTGGAGTCAAGGTTGGCTCACTCCTGGCTCCAATGAGCTCTGGAAGAAGTCATTAAGCTAGGGCCTCGCATACTTTTTCCTCCCTGCACTGTGAATGTTTACATGTTATGTGCAATTAAACCATGGCAACATCTAATGTTTGTGTAGTATTATGTTCAGCAGACTGTGTTCTTCTATTGTTGTGACTTGGATGACGTTCAGAGCACATTTTATGCCCAATTCATGCAAAACTCCACGTAATCCTAAGGGGTTCACATACTTTTTCTTGCAACTGTATGTGCTCAATTATATTGATGGGATTTATATTGTGTTTGCCTTTCCCCAAAGCTTACCAATATATATGTTAATTTATATAGGTGTCCTCCAACTTATGTAGGAGGATTTTTTTCATCTCTGTGTATCACCTGAGGCTAGTCACTTCACTGGGTATACTTGAGGGTTTGCAACCACTTTATCCCCTTCTGTAACAGTGCCTATCCTATCATGATGTGGAATCTTTTATGGTGCCATTATTGAACAGGTGTCCACACAACTGAATGATGCAGAAATAATAGTACACTTTAACTGTTTTCTCAACTTTCACCTGAAAAATACTCATGAATTTCAATAACATGATCTTCACTTCTGTGTCTTTTTCTCAGACAAAAAATGTGCACTCTTTCAGTGTCAGAGCATTATCATTTCTATTCAGTTTGCATGTCCTCCCTGTGCCTGCGTGGGTTTCCTCCAGTTACTCCAGTTTCCTCTCACACTCCAAGGACATGCTGGTAGGTTAATTGGCTCCTGTGTAAATTGGCCCTAGTATGTGTATGTATGAATGTGAGTTAGGGACCTTAGATTGTACGCCCTTTGAGGGTTAGGGATTGATGTGAATGAATGTACACTATATATGTAAAGTGCTGCGTAAATTGACGGCTCTATATAAGTACCTGAAATAAATAAATAAATATTCAGTACTTCAGGGTTCTCAGAACCATGTTCCCCTATAGCAGGGAAACACCTCTTTGGCATATTCTCTGCCTCCTTACAGAGCAAAAGGTGTCTGCCACAGCATACCCCAACTAATGTCACCACACAGGACCGCCTAACATTTACATGTAGTATGTGTGACTTTACTTGTTTGATTAAAATGTCTTCATATATCACGGTTCGGGTGTGTTGGGGTGGGGGCAGAATTGTGAATTGATGCATTAAAATTGGAGAAAAGACAATGAGTTTAAAAGACTGGCAGTGTCATTCAATTAAAATTCCTTTTTAATTTTCTATAAACTCCATAAAGGTGAAAACTGATTATTTGCCCATGGCATCAGTGCCAGTTTTGTGTTAAATTTATTTTCTAGTTTAACACACAACAACCCCTTTGTTTTCAGGATATTGTTATTGGAAGAAACGGGGTCTATGACCTGTAGAAATAGTTTCCTGAAGAAATGTGACACACATCCACATCAGCTGCAATGAAACGTGCCATATTCTATTTTCTAGAACTGTCTCATATGATCAAAGCACCATCTAGTGGACAAAATGCAGTATTTATTTTTGTGTACCTCAAACTGGAGAAAAAAAGGAATTTAGGCAACTAGATGGCACTTTGATCATATGAGATACTGTAGTTCTATAACATACAATAGAGCAAGTTTAGTTGAAGCTGAGTGGATGTGCGTCACTTTCATTCTGCAAACGTTTTATCCATAGACCTCTAAATGTTGACCAAATGAATACAATTTAATGCATTTTCACATACACTATATTGCCAAAAGTATTGGTTGGCCTGCCTTTACACACACATGAACTTTAATGGCATCCCAGTCTTAGTCCGTAGGGTTCAATATTGAGTTGGCCCAACCTTTGCAGCTATAACAGCTTCAACTCTTCTGGGAAGGCTGTCCACAAGGTTTAGGAGTGTGTCTATGGGAAGGTTTGACCATTCTTCCAGAAGAGCATTTATGAGGTCAGGTACTGATGTCAAACAAGAAGGCCTGGCTCGCAGTCTCCGCTCTAATTCATCCCAAAGGTGTTCTATCGAGTTGAAGTCAGGACTTTGTGCAGTCCAGTCAAGTTCCTCCTTCCCAAACTTGCTCATCCATGTCTTTATGGACCTTGCTTTGTGCACTGGTGTACAGTCATGTTGGAACAGGAAGGAGCCATCCCCAAACTGTTCTCACAAAGTTGGGAGCATGAAATTGTCCAAAATGTCTTGGTATGCTGATGCCTTAAGAGTTCTTTTCGCTGGAACTAAGAAGCCACACCATAGTCCCCCCCTCCACCAAATTTTACACTTGGCACAATGCAGTCAGGAAAGTATTGTTCTCCTGGCAACTGCCAAACCCATAAATGTCCATCGGATTGCCAGACAGAGAAGCGTGATTCATTACTTCAGAGAACATGTCTACAATGCTCTAGAGTCCAATGGTGCTTTACGCCACTGCATCCAACGCTTTGCATTGCACTTGGTGATGTAAGGCTTGGATGCAGAGACTCGGCCATGGAAACCCATTTCATGAAGTTCTCTACGCACTGTTGTGCTAATCTGAAGGCCACACAAAGTTTGGAGGTCTTTAGCTATTGACTTTGCAGACAGTTGGTGACTTCTCCGCACTGTGCGCTACAGCTTGTGCTGACCCCACTCTGTCATTTTATGTAGCCTACCACTTTGTGGTTGAGTTGCTGTTGTTCCCAGTTGCTTCCACTTTGTTATAATACCACTAACAGTTGACCGTGGAATATTTAGTAACAAGGAAATTTCATGGATGGACTTATTGCACAGGTGACAACCTATCACGGTACCACTCATGAATTCACTGATCTCCTGAGAGCGACCCATTCTTTCACAAATGTTTGTAGAAGCAGTCTGCATGCCTGGATGCTTAATTTTATACACCTGTGGCCATGGAGGTGATTGGAACACCTGAACCCAATTATTGGAGGGGGGCCCAATAGTTTTGGCAATATAGTGTATCTTAAAATCACATTTTGCTGATAAATGGTCCCTTTATGGGCTTCTTGGTTCATTAACCACTTGCCTACAGGGCACTTATACCCCCTTCCTGCCCAGGCCAATTTCCAGCTTTCAGCGCTGTCACACTTTGAATGACAATTGCGCGGTCATGCAACACTGTACCCATATGAATTTTTTATCATTTTTTTGAGACAGATAGAGCTTTCTTTTGGTGGTATTTAATCACCTCTGGGATTTTTATTTTTTCTTAAAGAAACCAAAAACCACTGAAAATTTTGAAAAAAAAAGTTTTTTCTTAGCTTTTGTTATACAATTTTGTAAATAAGTGATTTTTCTTCTTCACTGATGTGCGATAATGAGGCTGCAGTGATGAGCACTGATAGGCTGCACTGATAGGTGGCACTGATGAGGAGGCACTGGTAGGTTGCACTGATGGGCATTGACAGGCATCACTGATGGGTACTGAAAGGCAGCACTGATACATGACACTGATTGGCACTGATAGGTGGCACTGATAGGCGGCACTGATTGGCATTGATAGGTGGCACTGACTGCCACTGATGGGTGACATTGAAAGGCAGCTCAGATGGGCACTGATATGTGGTATTGATGTGCACTGGTATGCACTGATATGTGGCACTGATGGGCACTGGCACGTGGCACTGATGAGCACTGACAGGTGGCACTTCTGGGGCCACACTGATCATCAGGGCACACTGATCATCAGTGCCCTGATGATCAGTGTACATGTCCCCTCTGCAGAAAGCCGATTACCGGCTCTTCTCTCCTCTCGAGCTGTCAGCGTGACAGCTCGAGAGGAGAGAAATGCCGATAACCGGCATTTCCGTGTTTACATGTGATCAGCTGTGATTGGACACAGCTGATCACATGACCGAGCCGACATCTTCGGCTCTTTCCGTGATCCGCTGTGTCCGAGGGACACAGCGCACCGGCGATCGTCGCGCTGCACGCTCCCTGAGCTGCGCATGCGCAGTGAGAATGGTAGAACGTCATATGACGTCCTATCAGAATGAGAGAACCACCTTGTGCCCGTCATTGTACTATAGGGCGGGCGGAAGGTGGTTAAACACCTGCAATAACAGTATAGTTTTTTGTTATGCTATGTTTATATTACTTTATACAAAGTATGGATTCTTGCAGATTATTGTTTTCTGTAAACATTTCTAATGCAGCTGTGCAACAGTGAGGAATTCTGGGAACAAATCAAACCAGGGCCAGAGATAAATATCAGTGCTGTTAGAAGAAAAGAAGGTTCAGTTTCAGTGAAGACCAGCAAAGTGAACCCGAAAAATGGTCGACCAGTCTGGATGCACAGAAGAAGGAATACTTTGTTTTAGAAGACCAAGCAAAGAAAATATTCTGTATGCATATGCAGTTTATAAAAACATAAAAATAGAAGACTGCTTACCCGCATGTACCATTCTGAGTCTGTATGAACAGGTAGTGCAATCACCTCACCCATCTCAAGTTTGACATTTGTAATGAGGACACTGAAAACTAATTTTCCTTCCCTGTTGCACTGGTATTTGTGTGTAAAGCTCAACTGAAATATGCAAGCCAGCCATTCAGATCAATCTAAAAATATTGTTCATCTGGGATTACCAGCTGAAATCAAATATTTAATGTGGACAAATTATTGAAAATGACCAACCTCTGTAATGATATACTGCAGGTAACGTGACCTGGCTTTCCTGTGACTGGGAGACCTTTTTGAACTTCTGAGTGCCCTTTAAATCTGTACCAACAGTTACATTACTAAGGCGCAGATATATAACTGTCTGCTGTAGTACTTATCACTGTCATTTATTGTAATAGGAAAAAAGAACTGGAAGAAAAATGACAAGTAGATTGCCGTATGACTTTAAATGTGTTGTCTACTAATTACATCTATATCACCTAAGATTCTAAAAATCACTGATTTCTTGCATGCATCAGTGGAATGTCAGAGAAGAGGGACTGTACACACAGGAATGGATTTACACTCCAATACACTTGGCTTACAAGCTAACATCTATTGCCAACAATGACAACTGTGTACTAGCACAAACTACCCACTTCCCAGTGTCCATGCTACCTGTGGGATAAGCACAAAACTCTTCACTCCATAGAATCAATGCCAACATTAAGAAAGGAATTTTCCCCTGAGCTTAGAGGAAGCAAAGGAAAAAAGAACAAGGGAAAAAAAATTTGCCTGCACGATTTGATGATGGGCCATTGCAGAGCTTCGCCTCATTTACTAAGCTCTGGAGAAAATTCCTATTTTGTTCCTGTCTTACTATTGACATGGATACTATGAAGTGAAGTGTTTATGCTGGAGTGCTGAGTGGAAAAATGTTCATGTATTCCAGAGACGTACTAAATATGTCTTTTCCAAACATGCACTTTAAAAGATAATTTCACCCTTTGACCAAAAATAATAAATGAAACTTTTTTTTGCACAAATGTAAAAAATGTGCATTTATTATTTTTGGTTGCAGGAGCCTGTAAAGCATTGCACCAGTGATCAGCAGATTGCTGGTGCCATGCAGGTCTCCTGCAGACCTGTCAGTATATCCGCTTGCCTGTATGGGATGTACTGGCAAGCGGATATACTGACAGGAAGATTCAATTAACTATTGCAGCGCTTCACACCGCCGTGGTAGTTCATTGAGAGCTACAAGCTGATAGCCACTAACGCTGTCGGGACTTGTAGTTCATTCATTCACAGAACACCCTGAATGAATGATGCAGCTGTGTTGGCAGAGCCACGCACGGCCCTGCTGTTTTAAAAAAGTGACAACTAGTACAGGGAACTTCTCCCCATACTGCTGTCACAGGGAGGGGAGATCAGGCAGCGGCTGCAGCATTAGGAACATGTTACATGTTCCACCCTAAAAACAGATGGAACATGTAACATGTTCCCAAAGGTGAACTTATCTATTAAGATGGCTGTTCCTCCCACTGGTTCAGTGGAGTTTCTCCAAGCCAAGCCCAACTCATCTCAACTTTTCTATAAACTGTACTGATGATGGTCAACTAGCCAGAAACAGATGGTTAACATTTCTTGATAAGTACAGCAATGTAATCCAATGCAACAGGCATCAAACACTTTGTGCTCAATGTAAAATTTCAGACATACTGTGAGAGAAAGATATAAGATGGTAGGCTTATTAAAGGCTAAGTTCACTTTTTACATAAACTGACCCATGCAGAAAAATGGCTACCATGTTCTGGAAATAGGCCAGGATGAAGGAATGTAAACGTGAGGTATAAGGCGCAAACAATCAAATTATCCTCATTATAAAGTCCAATGCCATATAATAACTGTCCGTGGAAATATTGCACTAGGGCAGGCTTGTTCAAAAGCTGTAGCAGACTCTGGAGTGTAAACATAAAAGAGAAGAAAAGCACCTCTAAGTGCAGTATTAAAAGGATTTATTGAGACACAAGAGCAAGGCCACTCCCATGTAAAAGGTAATCAGCAGGCCCATCTGTATATGGAGGTCCAGGGCTCTGTAGTGGATACCTTGTCACCGCTGTTATCGCCAGAGGAATACTGAGGGAGATGGAGGCCGTCCTGTTACTCTCTGTATATCCACAGGTCTGACATAAAGGTGATGACATAAGCAAGTTCACAATGTAATGCAACACGTTTCAGAGCAAGTGCCGTGCCATGAGTGGGCATACGCGCCCCTTTCTCAAGCCATAGTGCAAGACTATGAGAGCCTTTATATATATATAAAACAGGAATCACGCCGCCGTTGCGCATTACAGAGTGACCAGTCAGCGTCCATCTCCCTCGGTCTTCCTCCGGCAATAACAGCGGTCACAAGGCATCCACTACAGAGCCCTGGACCTCCATATACAGATGAGTGTGCCTATTACCTCTTACATGTGAGTAGCCTTTCTCTTGTGTCTCAATAAATCCTTTTAATACTGCACTTAGAGATGCTTTTCTTTTCTTTTACAAAGGAATGTAAACTCTTGGAGTATCTGGGACAGGCTTCATGCATGACAGACAAGACCTACAGGTATGGCATTTGCATTAAACAATATTTGTACAAATGATACAGTGCACTGTAAATCCTGTTGTCTGCATGGGTCTGCTTATGTAAAAGATGTCTTTACTCTCTGTAAGTGCAATCAGTAGAAAAATGAATAGCACTAAGATCAGTGTTTATATTACTGATGTACAGTGGGGATCGAAAGTTTGGGCACTCCAGCTAAAAATTTGTATTAATGTGCATAAAGAAGCCAAGGAAAGATGGAAAAATCTCCAAAAGGCATCAAATTACAGATTAGACATTCTTATAATATGTCAACAAAAGTTAGATTTTATTTCCATCATTTACACTTTCAAAATAACAGAAAACAAAAAAATGGCGTCTGCAAAAGTTTGGGCACCCTGCAGAATTTGTAGCATGCACTGCACCCTTTGCAAAGCTGAGACCTGCCAGTGTCATGGATTGTTCTCAATCATTGTCTGGGAAGACCAGGTGATGTCAATCTCAAAGGTTTTAAATGCCCAGACTCATCTGACAATATGTCAACAAAAGTTAGATTTTATTTCCATCATTTACACTTTCAAAATAACAGAAAACAAAAAAATGGCGTCTGCAAAAGTTTGGGCACCCTGCAGAATTTGTAGCATGCACTGCACCCTTTGCAAAGCTGAGACCTGCCAGTGTCATGGATTGTTCTCAATCATTGTCTGGGAAGACCAGGTGATGTCAATCTCAAAGGTTTTAAATGCCCAGACTCATCTGACCTTGCCCCAACAATCAGCACCATGGGTTCTTCTAAGCAGTTGTCTAGAAACCTGAAACTGAAAATAGTTGACGCTCACAAAGCTGGAGAAGGCTATAAGAAGATAGCAACACGTTTTCAGATGTCAATATCCTCTGTTCGGAATGTAATTAAGAAATGGCAGTCATCAGGAACAGTGGAAGTTAAAGCAACATCTGGAAGACCAAGAAAAATATCAGACAGAACAGCTCGCAGAATTATGAGAAGAACAATACAAAACCCACGTTTGACTGCACGATCCCTCCAGAAAGGTCTGCCAGACACTGGAGTTGTGGTACACTATTCCACTATAAAGAGATACTTGTACAAATATGGTCTTCATGGAAGAGTCATCAGAAGAAAACCTCTTCTACGTCCTCACCACAAAAATCATCGTTTGAACTTTGCAAATGAACATATAAACAAGCCTGATGCATTTTGGAAACAAGTTCTGTGGACCGAGATCAATCATGCTTTGGGGTTGTGTTGCAGCCAGTGGCACAGGGAACATCTCACGAGTAGAAGGAAAAAATGGATTCAATAAAAATTTCAGCAAATTTTGAATGGTAACTTGATGCCATCTGTGAAAAAGCTGAAGTTAAAGAGAGGATGGCTTCTACAAATAGATAATGATCCTAAACACACCTCGAAATCCACGGGAGATTACATCAAGAGGTGTAAACTGAAGGTTTTTTTTTGCCATGGGCCTTCACAATCTCCTGACCTCAACATAATTGAAAATCTATGGATAGACCCTAAAAGAGCAGTGCGTGACAGGGACAGCCCAGAAATCTCAAAGAACTGGAAGACTATTTTGTAAGGAAGAATGGGCAAAGATACCTCAAACAAGAATTGAAAGACTCTTGGCTGGCTACAAAAAGCATTTTACAAGCTGTGATACTTGCCAATGGGGGGCAGTGCATGCTATAAATTCTGCAGGGTGCCCAAACTTTTGCAGACACCATTTTTTTGTTTTCTGTTATTTTGAAAGTGTAAAATGATGGAAATAAAATCTAACTTTTGTTGACATATTATAAGAATGGTCTAATCTGTAATTTGATGGCCTTTTGGAGATTTTTCCATCTTTCCTTGGCTTCTTTATGCACATTAATACAAATGGTTTAGCTGGGGGGGTGCCCAAACTTTCAATCCCCACTGTATATGACACGTACTGTACACATTCCACAACCCCTTTGGCAGACAACATAGCACACCAGCCACTTCAAACCCCAGCCCCTCAGAGGGAGGACTATACAGCCCTAAGTCTCATGGGGAGTTGCCTGATTATTGCGGTTAAATTGCTAGAAATAATGTTGACATAAAGTAGTTTGCTTGAACCCAAGTTTACAACTTGTAACCTCTGAAAATAACAGACTTCACATTATGTTGTATCTTCACCCAGATTGTATGTTTTTTTTTTTTTTTTTTTTTTTTTTTTTTTTTTTTA